TATAAGGTGAGGTTTGCATACCAGGATCCTAGTGAAGATCGCTGGTTCACACGAGAAGAGTTATTAGACTCTACACCTCATATTGTGTCTACATATGAAAGGGAAAGGAAAGGAATCCACATCATTGATAGATAAGTGATTTCTCAGAGGACTTCGAAACTAGGCCGGCGAGAGTAAAACGGCCTTTACCCGATACAGGCCTTGTAAAGGTAAAGCATCCTGAAGGGGTACCTCGCCAGGACCCAGAAACGTGAAAGCAGGTCAAAGGTCAAGTTCTCTTGCAAAGGGCACATCCTAAACGAAAACAAAGGTCATTACCCTATAAAAACCCTAAGAAAACCCTAACCGGAGTTTGAGTGGTTAGGGTAGTGTACCAGTGACCTAATCAAGAAAATAAAATAGCAATCATAGGGGGGGAAGGCGGGAGAAAAATGAATAAACAGCGAGATTTCGGGAGAAAAATAAAATAAATAAGGAAATAAATAAAATATGAAGAGAGAAATAATATTTATTTTTTTAGAATTTTTGGCAGCATTTCCTTACCCGCCATGGGGTCAAAAATGTGCCAAGGGGAAAGGAGAGTGGAGTGGAGAGCGCGACGCATCAGGTCTAAGCCTGATAACACGAAGCGACCAGGCATAGTGCATAAGCACGAAGCGCAACCACGGAAAAGACACCAGTAATCACGTCATACCATAGGCACATCAAAAGCACCGCGTATCAACGACAAAATAGGAAGTGGAGTCAATGAGGATKGGGGAGAAAGAGAAGAGAAAAGGTATTRGAAAAAGAAGAGGAAAAAGAAAAGGGGAAGGAAAAAGAAAAAGAAGAAGCAATAGAGTGAAGAGGGGAAGGAAGAAGATGGAGAAGGCATGATGACACAGTAAATCAGGCACGAGCTCTTTATCGATTAAATTGAACAACAACTGCAAAGAGCCCTCTGGCGGCGTCTCTATGCCGCGTTTCAGCCTTCCGCCAGTGAAGGCATCTTCAGGGGACATATGCCTGATGACGATCATGCTTGGGAGCAGATGTTTAAATAGTGCTACTTTCATATTCGAAATTTCTATTTACCTTATTTTTTCCACGGGGACGTCCACTTCGCGAGTCTGAGAAAGGCGGGAAGCAGGACTAGGCGGGAAAAGAATTCTTCAGAAGTTCAGGGTAATGGCAGGAGATCGTATGTGGGGGGAGGTCAGAGATAGAGAGATAGGAGAGGAAGAGAAACAAAGAGAGAAAGAGAGAGAGAGAGAGAGAGAGAGAGAGAGAGAGAGAGAGAGAGAGAGAGAGAGGAGACGGGGATAGAGAAAGAGAGAGAGAGAGGGGGGAGAGAGAGAGAGAGAGGATAGAGAGAGGGAGAGAGAGAGAGAGAGAGAGAGAGAGAGAGAGAGAGGGGGGGGGGGGGGGGGGGGGGGGGGGGGGGCGAGAGAGAAGTGGGAAAGAGCGAGCGCACCAGAAAGAAAAGCGTGGAGGCAGGGAAGAAGTGGGGAAACCGACGGAGGCGGATCAGGCGAGTAACAGATCTGACGAAAGAAAACTCGGCGGATGGTGATTAATGGGAAGGAGAGGTGCGCGGGAATAAGGCAACCCGTTTGCATTCTGCAGAGGTGGCGGCAAAACCCAAGACGCGGCGGGGGTAACGACACACGGAGATAGATACGGAGAGCAGGGGACGACAACAGTGAAAGACATAGGGAGATATCTAGGTCGGGCAGGTAAGATTTGCCAGATCCTACCGAGTCCATCCTAAATCTACTCTTTATCGAATCATTGTTGGAAGAGCATGGTTTCGAAACCTCCCGTTTGCAAGGGAAATCCTGCCTTCGAGGCCTATTTCAAAGATACCGCCCATTCGTCCCAGCAGCCTCCATCTTCCTTCAAGATCTCTCGCAAAGCTCTGAAGAACATCCAACTCGGGAACCCCTTGAGCCGGGACTCTTTCCTGAATGCTAGCAACGTCGAGCCCACTACTCTATGGTCTGAGGAGTGGGCCAAAATACGGTTAAGGTGGCACTTTAAAACACCCTTCTTCTGCTGAGCCGGGCCAAACGACCAAAAATCTTGGGTAGACAAGATCCTAACAGGTTTATATGACCATATAAAATTTTGGTTTTTTGTGACCGCTGTGTAGCTGATCCGAGGAGGATGGTACCTGCTCTTGATTCGACATCCTAAAAAATCCCACACCCCACTCCGTTCATTTGTCCTAACCAGGGACAAGTTACTATCATAAGAATCTTGAAATCTTGTCAACAGCTGACTTCCTTGTGCAGCATGTCCTCCCTAGAGCTTGGGAGTAGGATACAGACACTCACATCGTCGACAAGCCTAATAGTTGAAAAAAAACTTCATATCTATTCCAACAGAACTAATGAACATTGCTTCATTATATGCATACAGTAAGCATGCCAGCGCAGGGCTCAAACACTTACCCATGGGGATGCCGACAATTTGCTTGATTATCAGGTTAGCTACCTTGGAGAAAGTGTTCTGCAGATTAAATTCGAGAAACGAAATAATCTCCTCAAAAGTGACCGTAACTTATCCATTCTCCCTAAAACTTTTGGAAAAGGATGCCCCTTTGCCTCTACGGTTCACTCTAACATACTTGCGACCTTTGCTTAGAAAGAGATCACAGACCCATTCCACGGCTCGCAAAATAGATTGGTGAGGAAGCCGGGTGAACATTTCTTTAATGTCATAACTTGCTGTTATTAGGTATCCTTGCCTGAGTTTCGTAGCCCGTCTGTTGATCTAACAGATTTTGTCTTTCAGAAGTGACGTAGACTGCAAATTAAAGTGCAGGTTTTTTGGTAAGTTCCGTAGTAGAAAGTTCACTGCTCTTGAGACTACCCTGCATGCCTTCACACTAAGCTCGCAAAAAGAAGGAGAGATAGGGCGCCATCCACAAGTGTCCTTGTGCTTTGGGATGCCATAGCAATTCCCTAGCGTTCCTTTCTTATCCCATGTACCCAACTTTCCTCCCTTAGCCTCGTCAAACGCTAGTTTGCAAGCTGTCAATACTTCAATCTCACTCTCCCGGACTACAGAAAAACATTTGTTGTCCCAGTACAGCGAAGCCAAAGCCTTGTAATAAATATACGGGCAGCAGACCAACGAATCCCCGCCGTTATGGTCTATAGGTGCAACCACTAGGTCCTTCAGTACACCCTTCCATTCTTCCATAACATTGTAGTACTGCCTGTCCTTCGCGGGGACAGACTCCCTGATGCACACCCTGGCTTGGTGGTGGGAGCAGGTTGCACTCCCTGGGATAGACTGCATCCCTTCACAGATAGCTTTCCGAATAAGACCAATGGCAGTGCAGGTCGGGGGTTGGATAACATTTTGGGAATTCTTCAGGCATTCCGGTAACAGGTTCCCATCCGAGCACCGGAAACAGACGTGTCCGTTCGTGCTTCTTACCAGATCTAGTCTCTCACTACCACAAGTACATACCCCATCAACAGTTCTGGATGTTGTACGGTGATTGTGCAGTACTTCACCGATATTCCTAGCCCTCATCCAGACAAAACGTACTCTTGAAATGATGAACTATGCTATACATCCAGGTCCACAACGTTTACGAATCAATTTTTTAATAAGCTCGACAACCTCATTCTTCAAAATGTCGTTGCTGTAGGTAATCTTAATTACTACAATACTGAGATATCTGAACCCGCTTGCCTTGGTGATTACCCTCCCAACCACACCTTTGAGAATAGCCTGAGTGCGCCCATTCATAAAAGAGTCAATAGAGTTGTATAGTTTAATAAGAGTTGAAAGATCAAACTTATACAGCAGTGGTCTGGTTGAAGGTACCTGCAGGAGTGATTGTAAAACTACCTTTCTCTGCTCACTCGCAGATCTTCTCATCCTTATCACGAAAAAAGTGAGCACGCCACCACTGCAAAACTTTTCTTTATAATTTTTAAACAGCCCTTTCTCACCCTGACATTCCACAAGAGACCATCCGAAGAGCTTACTCAACCTACCCCACCCTTCTAGGAAGATACCTCCTCCATTAGTCCGAACTGTCGCAGTCAAACATCGTAGTTCTAAAAAAACATCAGATATACAGTAGGAGATGAGGGGGCTGTCAAGTAACGCACTACCGGGGGCAACTTCCCACCTAATCAACCTCCGATCAGTGACGGGAACAGGCTTGTGCTGCCCTTGCCTTTTCAGGTGCGCCCTTCTCTCACGCTTGCCTTTCCTTCGGCACCTTTTCTTTCCATTAACCCATTGTGTATTCAGGGTAGAGGACCACCTACCTATCACCGAAGCTTCAACCGTTCGCAGCTGATCAATGGGTGGAGAGATCAGAGGAATGGCGACGTAATGTTCCCAACCTTTCTTAGCCAGCCACTTCCTAAGCTTGTGATTCCTTCGCCTTCCCCTGAATCTCGTAGATGCTACATGCTCCCTCCAACGCTCATTCAAGCTTCTACAGGTGGATCCAATGTAAGTAGCCTTAAACCAAGGTGAGATCAGTACGTAAACCCCACTGTTCGAACCATCGCAGATATCTAAACCAGTTTTAACGGACTCAAACCATTGGTCTAAAAAAATTTCTCCCCATACTATTTGTCCTACAACAACCAGTAGCAGGACACACAAACGAAAAGCGTTCTCCAAACGACATTTCTCACTCTTCTTCATACTGTTCTCCCATCGCTGGGACCGCAATTTATCAGCTTGCGCCGATAGCCATACAAGGTCCCGGTAAGAATCACGAAGGATTTTCCTCTTGGGTCTCCTCCGCTGAATCGTTTTTCCGTTGGTTGGCAGGCTCACTGCTGCCTTCGTCGCCATAAGCGACCCAAGCCTTCAGCTCCGCCAAGTCGGCTGATGCTTGCTTCTTATTGTGGTATTCGATTCCCTCATCGTCACACATCTTGGTCAGCTCGTGTTTGTACTTCCCAGAAGTACCTTCGTCATTTCTTCAACGTAACGCTTGCGTCCGTCAGGACCAGGCCCTGCAACCATAGCTTTCATACCTTCCCGAACCTTGTCAAAGCCAAGGCCAGTAGAGGTCCCGATGGCTGAGAAAGATCCTGAGACTCTTCTGACTGCCTCTTCGGCAATTGAAGTGAACACGTCTACGAGTCTGGCGGACGGCCTGCTGCTTGGTGCGTCTCCAACCGGGGTAGAAGGACCAACTTCGTTAGTGCCCCTCTGTGCTGCACTTCGTGTAAACGGTCGGCTGGGACCAGGGGTCCTATTTCGTGCTAGGATCTTCGTGACAGGAGGTCTCCTTGCGGGGGGTGGAGGGTTAGCATGCGGTGGAGAGGGCGGGGGAGAAGGCGGGGGAGAAGGTATTGGGGAGGGAGCACGAGGAGGAGACCGAGGTCTGGGAAGAGGTGTGGGCCGGTATGCCTGCCGAGGGTCCCGGGGAGGAGAAACAGACGACCTATGAGGGTGGGTGTGAGTAGGGGGACGTGGGTGCGCATTGTTTCTTTGCGCAACATTAGGGGAGGGATTATGCACCGGGTTAGGGGGATAGTACTGGGGCGGTGGTGGGGCAGATGATGGCCCAACAGCAGCACCGGCAGCGGCAAGTGTCGGTGCAGAAGCTCTCAGCGCTTTGATTTCTTCAACAATTGTGAGGATAGCCTTGTTCTGAGCCTCCAACGCACGCTGCAGCGAGTTCTGGTTCATGAGCAGCAGTCCAGCGTCGAGTGGATTCATCTCCGTCCTGTCATTAGGCCTCTGTCTTCCTGACTCGGGTGGCTGGGGGGAGTTTCCCCCGATCTCCTCTTGAGCTCTCTTCCGATTGTCGCCTCCATCGTTAATTCTCAATGTACCACCTTGCCTCTCACTGCGAGCCCCACTGGACTTCTCGTTGGGTTTCCCAACGTCACCTTGGCCCACCTTTTCCCAAATCCTCTTGTTCTCTTCACTATACTTTTTATCTAAATCGTCGAATTTGTCGTGGATGAGCTGAGCTAGCCTGGCCTCCTTGATCGCCTCCTTCTCCTCCTCATCCTCTTTCTTCTTCTCCTCTTCCTCTTTGGCTTTTCTTGCCTGTTCCTCTTTCTGACGGTTCTCTTCCTCAATTCTCTTTCTCTCCTTTTCATCCCATCTGTCATACGCTATTTCCCTCACCAAATTCAAAAGCTCGTGGCCCCAATGCAGCGCGCTAGACTGGTGGTTGCCATACTGACGCGGATAATATGGGACAATGGCCGTTGAAGCAGAGGCCGGGGCAGCAGCTTGAGATTGAGGTGCAGTCATGATGGTGTTAGCGGTGGAGCCTGACACAGGAGGGGGAGGAAGAGGAGGAGGACGGGGAGGTGGAGGAGGGGGCGGGGGGGGTAACAGGGGTAGGGGAGGAGTTGATGGTGCGGGACGAGGGTAATTATTAGCATGCGCATAATTATATGCCGGGGGCCCAACAGGTCTGCCAGATATCAAGCCATCGCCTCTAGCCAATTGCGGACAATTGCGCCGAAAGTGCCCATGCTGCCCATACTGGTAGTAGGCGCCGTACGGGACAAAGCTATCACCCATCGCGTCTATGCCCTCCCCTTCTATTCAACAGAAAAACCCTGACGGGACAGGTTGCTACAATGTTAGACGAGAAAAAAGTCCGCGAGAACTATCGACGTGCCGAATGAGCGGGACAACTTGACGATCTTTCGTAGCGACTGCAATCGAGGTGATGAACCGAGCATGCGAATCAACCAATCCGGGAGCAACCAGGTGGTTAACTCGCTTCCACTAGAGTGGAGAGTGCGACGCGCCAGGTCTAAGCCTGATAACACGAAGCGACCAAGCACATTGCATAAGCACGATGTGCAACCACGAAAAAGGCACCAGTAATCACGTCATACCATAGGCACATCAAAAGCACCGCGTATCGTCGACAAAATAGGAAGTGGAGTCAATGAGGATTGGGGAGAAAGAGAAGAGAAAAGGTATTRGAAAAAGAAGAGGAAAAAGAAAAGGGGAAGGAAAAAGAAAAAGAAGAAGCAATAGAGTGAAGAGGGGAAGGAAGAAGATGGAGAAGGCATGATGACACAGTAAATCAGGCACGAGCTCTTTATCGATTAAATTGAACAACAACTGCAAAGAGCCCTCTGGCGGCGTCTCTATGCCGCGTTTCAGCCTTCCGCCAGTGAAGGCATCTTCAGGGGACATATGCCTGATGACGATCATGCTTGGGAGCAGATGTTTAAATAGTGCTACTTTCATATTCGAAATTTCTATTTACCTTATTTTTTCCACGGGGACGTCCACTTCGCGAGTCTGAGAAAGGCGGGAAGCAGGACTAGGCGGGAAAAGAATTCTTCAGAAGTTCAGGGTAATGGCAGGAGATCGTATGTGGGGGGAGGTCAGAGATAGAGAGATAGGAGAGGAAGAGAAACAAAGAGAGAAAGAGAGAGAGAGAGAGAGAGAGAGAGAGAGAGAGAGAGAGAGAGAGAGAGAGAGGAGACGGGGATAGAGAAAGAGAGAGAGAGAGGGGGGAGAGAGAGAGAGAGAGGATAGAGAGAGGGAGAGAGAGAGAGAGAGAGAGAGAGAGAGAGAGAGAGGGGGGGGGGGGGGGGGGGGGGGGGGGGGGGCGAGAGAGAAGTGGGAAAGAGCGAGCGCACCAGAAAGAAAAGCGTGGAGGCAGGGAAGAAGTGGGGAAACCGACGGAGGCGGATCAGGCGAGTAACAGATCTGACGAAAGAAAACTCGGCGGATGGTGATTAATGGGAAGGAGAGGTGCGCGGGAATAAGGCAACCCGTTTGCATTCTGCAGAGGTGGCGGCAAAACCCAAGACGCGGCGGGGGTAACGACACACGGAGATAGATACGGAGAGCAGGGGACGACAACAGTGAAAGACATAGGGAGATATCTAGGTCGGGCAGGTAAGATTTGCCAGATCCTACCGAGTCCATCCTAAATCTACTCTTTATCGAATCATTGTTGGAAGAGCATGGTTTCGAAACCTCCCGTTTGCAAGGGAAATCCTACCTTCGAGGCCTATTTCAAAGATATCCGCCCATTCGTCCCAGCAGCCTCCATTTTCCTTCACGATCTCTCGCACAGCTCTGAAGAACATCCAACTCGGGAAAGGAGAGACCAAGATAAGCACACTAGGTTTCAAAATGCCGAAAATTAAAATTTCAAAAAATAAATAAAGAAATAATAAATAAATAAAGAAATAAGTAAATAAGTGAATGAGGAGGTGGAGAGAAATGAAGTATATGATTTTTCAAAAATTTCGACAGCATTTCGTTACCCCCATGGGGTCGAAGGGTGCTGAGAAAGACTAAGTGAAAGAAACACAGAAAATTTTGGCAGCACTTCGTTACCGCCGCGGGGTCAAAATGGGTGCCGAAAGCAAGAAAGACCAACTCCTAGTCAGATTTAAGGGTGCCGCAAAGAAATTCAAATTTTTAGAATAAATAAAAGAATAAAATAAAATAAATCAGAAAATGAGAAGGGAGGGGGGGACATACGAAAATTCGAATTTTTGGAGAAAAGAGAAGATTGAAATCAAAGAGAAAGGGGAAAGAAGAAAGAAAAAAAAATAGAAAAATTCGAAGTAGGGGGGAAGGGGAATGAAAAAGTGAAGGAGGAAAGAGAGAAATAGGTCGGAGAGAGAGAAAGAGTGAAGGGGGAGAGAATGGGGGAGATAGGGATGGGAAAGGTATACCAATTCGACTTATAAGGAGGAAGGAAATTATGTCACCACAGACAGAAACTAGAACAAATGCTGGATTTAAAGCAGGGGTAAAATATTACAGATCCAATTCATATTTCCAATACAATTGTTACTATAGTACAATTATTACTATACTATAATTTATTCTCAATATTAATTACGATATAATTATTATTACTTAGGATATAATTATTATTAATTAGGATATAATTATTTTAAAAAAATGCACCGGTTGGAAATGCGCATTGTGGTATGAGGTTGTGGGTTCAAAACTCCACAGTCTCGCGCATGGACACGGGCAGGGCGTTTAGTGTGACACACGGCTGGACACCCCCCCCCCTGGGCTGATGCATGGTACTATTACAGACACTGCCTGCACACCACCCAGGGGTCAATCCAGGTGTATTGTATGCTTGTCTGGGTATTGTGTTGGTTGCTTGCTGCTGTTGGCTCGGGTTGTTCTTCCAGCCGAATATTTCATACAGTGTATTCATTTCCTATGTACGTCACAGGTTCGAATCTGGTTCTAGACTTGGGGGGGTCTTGTCCAGATTACATATGCTCTATGGTGGGGAGCAATTCTAAATGATGAACATACATATAGCTTACGAGCACATACATGGATTGGATGGTTGATCACGGAATGATGATAGGCGTCCTCACGGAATGATGATAGGCGTCCTGGGGCGTGCAGAAGTTCCTAGTTGGTTGACTATATACACAGCCTATGGGCACATATATGCAAAACAAACCGACATATACAATTACAATGGGACTAGGTGGTTGATAACGGAATGAGGATAGGCGTCCCGTTGGGGCGTGCAGAAGTTCCGGGTCGGCTATTCCAGGGGTGAAGACATACAATTACAATAGGGCTGGGTGGTTGATAATGGAATGAGGATAGGCGTCTCGTTGGGGCGTGCAGAAGTTCCTTGTCGGCCAGCCTAGGGCAACCATGGCTGACTGCCTTCAGTAATCAATAGGAATCTGGTGCGGCCTCTACAACACCCTGGACTTAGGGGAAAGAAAAGAAATAAATGAATAAAATAGAGGAGAATAGTGGGGTGGTGGGAGAAAAGGTGGGGTGGGGAGAGGGGTATGAGTAGTGAGAGAGATTAGAAGGGAGGGAGTGGGGTGAGTGGGGTGAGTAAGAGGAGAGAGAGGAGGTAGAGAAAGGGGATTAGTGGGGAGAAGGGAGGGGAGTGATACCTGGCCCTTGGTGTCTCCAAGGGCACAAGGTATACCAAGACCAGGAGGGTCTTGGCCTTCGTGGCAGCAAGCCAGCTGGAGGAGAGAGGGGGCTGAGATCTTGATCAGCCCCTAGCAGCAGTACTGCAGATCTGCAGATCTCGGGTATGCTGTGTGAGCAGACCCTCACCAGTGTAGAGCAGCCCCCTTAGCAGGGGGGTCTTCAGTTCAACAGCAAGCTGCCGCGTGGCACTGCAGATGGCCACGTGCACAGGCAGCACCCGCCGGCGGGGGCGGGGGGGGGTAAATAGGTGGCACACACCTCTTCAACAGCAGCGTGCCACACTACAGATCCATACACGCAGTATGGCGAGTGTGTTATAGGAGTAGCTCACGCACGCGCAAGCCCAGCAGGTGCCTGGGTTCAAACCCCAGCGGCAGCAAGATCCCGGATGTTGATAATATAAATCCGGGAGCGGGGCGGGGCAGCGGGGCAGCGAGGGTGCGTGGCGCGCACGCGCGTGCGGTACGGGGTGGTGGGTGGGAGCGGGGAACGTTCCCGCTCCGATACCAGTGTGGCGGACCCACCGAGTGTGGTGCTCTGCCAGAGATAGAGATGGAGATGGAGGAAGAAGGGGGAGCGAGATGGCACAGCGCAGCTCCCACGCCAGACTCCAACGCACATACTCCAAACTGTGCGAATGCAGAAATGAGAGAGAAAACAGACAACAGCTGGGGTATACCCCAGCGGACTGACGGGACTGGACTGGACTGGCTGGTACCGACAGAGGTACCGGCCTGGACTGGACTGCCCAGAATAGAACACAGGCCTGTGAGAACAGGCCAAGGGGCTGGTCTCACAGGCCAACCAGAGTTCCGCTACACTTCTTGCCTGTGTTAGTTTGTCTGTTGGGTTTGGCAAAACTATAGTCCTACCATATTCACCCGAATAGAACGCTGAGTCATTATCCCTGCATCTGGACTGAAAGCTGCACTAAATACAGCAACAATGAACGGGCGTTCTGACAGCTGTGGAGGGCCGTGCAATCGTCCCCCTATTCTGCTGCTGAGGACTCGAACAATGCATAAAACCAACGGTCATTATTGCTGTGTCTAGACTGAAAGTTCCTCTAAATGCACCGATAATGACTGTAGGTCAAGGCCCGGTCAGCAACCAGCCGGTTCAGCCAGGGCCGGAGCGGCGCAGGGGGGGTTGAACCCGTAAAACCGGTTTTCAACTTTTCAAAAGAAAGCGTCCTTTTTTTTTCTTTTTTTTCTTTTTTTTTCTCTTCTGCGGAGTCCGACTGCACTATTTGAGGTCTGTCGACATCCGCAGTAAAACTTTGAAGGTGCAGTTTTTTGTAGGGGGGGTTCCAGGAGGGCGAACGGTATTGAAACGGTTTTCACCTTTGAGGTAGCAGTTGCAGATTCCAGAGCTCGATCCCCAGACCTCGCCCTTACCCGTGTACAGTACCGATGACCCGTGTGTGCTTGAACCCACGATCTGTGTTTTGAAAGCTGCCTGTTTGTTTTTTCTGTAGGTAGGGTGGTCATCGGG